CTGAAGAACAAAACGACAGCAACTTGTCTGTTCCCCTTCCCCTAATTCCCCAGCACTGTTCCCATCCCCCCAATTACCCAATAAAAATCTTTAAAAAAAAAAAAAAAAGAAAGTAAATCTGAATAACTAATATAAACATGGCTAAAAAGCACTGCAGAAGTTAATAACTAAAATTTTGATCTATTTAATTAAAAAAACCAATTTTTAATAAAAACAATTTGGTTCAACAAAATAAGCAACTAACAGTCTTTTCAGGGAAAAAAGAATGAGTATTTCCAAAGAACTCATTTTTCCACAGTGATTAAAAGGAAAAAAAACCCACACACACCAAAAAAACGTAGGTCAAAATTAACTGCTTTAGTCAGCACTAAAGCACATGACAAAATATGTAAGTGCACCTTAGTTCTCACCCCACCAAGCACGTTTACAGAAGGTAATGAAAAAAGATGTTTGTATTAATGTTTCCCTATGACATAGGAAGGAAGATGAGATAAGAATTAAAAGCTTCAGAACAGTTTTAAATCACTTACCATAAAGATTTAAAAGGGAAAAGAGTTTTCTTGGAGACTACTTACGCTTTACAAATGATGGAGTGCTGAACCTCAAACTCCAAATTAGTAATAACAGGGCAAGTGTATACTCTAGTGGCTGAAATATCTGGTGAACTTTCTTCTCCAGGAACAGGTTCAGTCTTCCAAGTTTTATTTAATTTTTCCATATCCTCTTTCAGCTGGTCTAAGCACTGACTTAGAAATTCATGAGCATCCTAAGGCATAATATCTTTAATCAGATCAAAACATTTCTTGTCACAATAATAGCTTATCAACATCGTGATTTATACCACTAAAGCACTTGGAAATCAATAACATTATATAAAAAAGGTCAGGTTTACTCTGTTTTGGGGTATATATTTTGTGAATAAAAACAAATGATGGATTTTAAAGTCTTTACTATCAGTTGGATTAGCATGAATGAATAAATGAATTACTTCTTACTTTGTTTTTTTAAAAAAGGTAATTTTTCTAAAATAGCCTTTGTCGTTAAAATAGCCCAAGTTCCGGTACTGGTAGACCACATCTATATTATTGAAATATAATAAAATACACAGAGGAGTTATATTGAACCTCACCAGAAGCCTTAGGTTATTCCACCTGTGATGACCACACATACATAATACAAATCTCACTTTAAAATAAAAATCAGGTAACACACTAAAATCATTTCAATTTCCCCTGTCTCTAAAGTGTTAAAAGCAATTGGTACTCACATTCTGCATATAACCAGAGAATCTCTCTGCTGTAGCTGAAATGGCATTTTTAACCTTCTTGAGTAAATCTTTTTTGGTCTCTGAATTACAGATATCTTTTTTAACAAGCAAATGTGCAAAACGCCTGGTAAAACAAGACTCAAGTTTAGCATGTTTTACACAACATTGGATGGCATGATATTTTAAAGACTGCTAACAATGGCACATAACATTTTAAGTGTGTAAAATTCCATAATTCTATAATCAATAAGGTAAAAGGTTACCAAGTAAGTGCATAACAATTACCTGATAAGTGCATTGTGTGGAATTTTCTTCCATGGGATACCTTGCTTAAGCAAGTCATTTGCAAATGACTGCAGTGAAAATAGGGATTGTAAAATAGCATTCATATAGCAGGTATTTCCCAAATTGGAGAAGCTGAAAATGAAAGAAATAATACTTTTAAAGACAATGGTAGTTCCTCAAGTATGTTCATGAGAGATCCGTTCTCCCGTACAGTATGCATCAGAATCACCTGGAGGGCTTGTTAAAATACACACTGCTGGGCCCCAGCTTCAGAGTTTCCGATTCAATACGTCTAGACAAAGAAGGTGCAAAAATAACCGTTTCTAACAGGATCCCAGTTGATGCTGCTGGTCTAGGGACCACACTTTGAGAACCACTGCATTATAACAACTTAGTTTCATCTTAAGGAAAATTATACATTTTCAGATGATGCCTAAAAGGACTGGGGACTTATCCAAAGAGCTATTTGTTCTTATTTATAATATTAATTTTTTCACTGAGCTATAACTTACTCTTTCTCTTGAGCATATGCCCAGAAGTACAACTGTTGGGTCATAGAATATATGTTGTGTTTAGCTTTAGTGGGTACTGCCAAACACTCTTCCAAAATATATATTTTTAAAAAAACTTTTATTTGGAAATATTCTCAGACTTTCAGAAAAGTTGCACAAGAATAATATGCTTTACCTAGATTCACCAATTGTTAACCTTTTGCACTATGTGCTCCATCATTTAATACCTCTATTTTTTTCCTGAGCCATTTGAGAGTAAATTACAGAAATCATACCCCTTTAGCTCTAAATACTTCAGGGTGCATTTCATAAGAGAACATTCTCTTGTTTAACCAGAGTAGAGTTATCAGCATTATAAAATTTAATGCTAATAAAAGTCTTATGTAATATATTATCTTTAATTCAGTTTTGTTAATTGACCCAATAATGTTCTTTATAGCATTCCCCCGCCCTTCCAAGTACAAGATTCAGTCCAGGGAAACACAATGCATTTAGTTTTCATTTCTCTTTTGTTTTCTTTAATCTGGAATTAATTCTTCAGCTTTCTCTTTCATGACATTGACCTTTGTGAAGAACACAGTCCCCCCTCACCACTGGTTTTTAAATGGAATGTTCCTCATATTGGGTTTTCTATTTTCTCATGATGAGCTTCAGCCCAGGCTGGAAGAACATATAATAATGCATAGTGATACTGTGTCCTTTCAAGGACATCACATCCAGAGGCACATGGTATTCTTCTGCTGCTCACTGGTTATGTAAATTTTGAACACCCTTGAGAACTTTTACTTCAGACTATGAGAAAGTATCAGGGTCTGGAATTACCCTATTGCCATAAACAATGAAAAAAACTGGACAGAATATTGGACAACAGGCAGACCAGGACTGTGATCTTTAAGAGAAACAAATGGTGAACCCTATCATTATGAAGGGTTTCAGCCTGCAGGTAATTTGTCAACTGCAGGTCAGGGAGAGGCCAGAAATCTTGCTGAGTTAAGCTGAAAAAACTGGAAGTCTGGGTGGCTGAGATTGCTAAAATTTCTGGGCCTGAGAAGAGGGCGCTATGCAAAGGAAGAATTCCAAATATCTGCACAGAAATCTGCTCGAGTACTCGCTGAACATCAACCTGTGCATGCTTAGGGTGAGGCCCCATGACACCAGGCAGGAAGAACTTCAAGGAAAACAATTACTGAGGAGCTATTAGCCGAACAATCCCCAGAGTTCACGCAGAACCTAAAATTGTGTTCCCACCAGTCAGAGAGGAGAAACAGAGAGACCTAAATGAATTCGTGGGGCATTAAGAGACCCCAGAGGGGCCATGCTTTGGAGAAGGAATTAAATTAGCCTTAGAGCAAAAGCCACTCTAGATTTGAGCCCAAAGAGCTTCATCACAAGTCTTAAAACAATCAAACCCAATTGCAGATAAGGATATTAAAACACCTATTATAAATATGCTTCATGTGATTAAGGATGTGAAGGAAAACATAAACATAATGAGGCAAGAAGTAGATGATATTAAAAAGCCTCAAATTAAACCTCTAGAGATTAAAAAAAAAAACCACAATATTTGAAAGGGAAATTTTATTGAATGAGTTTTATAGCATATTAAACTCCAAAGAAGGAAATATCAGTGACTTGAAGATTTAGCAACATACAATATCAAAAATGAAGTAGCTATATATTTTATATAATACATAAAATTTATATATTTATATAATTTAAAATAAAATACATTTATATACTTCGTAAAATATTTAATATATCTTTTATTTTATATAACATAATATATAAAATGGATTTTATTTAATATTGTAAATATTTTATACCTATATAAAAGCAAATATATGTTTTCTTCTCCTTTCTTACACAAAGGTAGCATACTATATATACACTTTGGCAATCTGTTTTTTTACTTATCAATATATTTTTTGTTATTTTCAGGTTTAATTATAGCCATCCTCATGGGTGTGAAGTGGTATCTTACTTTGGTTTTGAACCTTCTTTTTTTCATTTTCTTTTTGCAGCATCCATGTTGTAGCACATGTCAGAATTTCCCTCCTATTTAACACTGAACAGTATTCCACTGTATGTATATTGAACAGTATTCCACATTTTGTTTATCTATTCATTCACTGATGGACAACTGGGCTGCTTCCACTTCTTGACTATTATGATTAACACTGCTATAATCATAAACATGGGTGTACAAATACTGCTCAAGTCACTGCTCTCAATTCTTTTGGATATACACCCATAAGTAGACTTGCTGGATCATATGGTAATTTACTTGCTGGATCATATGGTTAATTCTTTGAGTAGATGCCATATTGTTTTCCATAGCACCTATGCCATTTTACATTCCCGCCAGAAAGGAAAGGTACAATTTTCCAACATCCTCATCAGCATTTCTTTTTTAATGCAGGCATTTACTGCTATAAAATTTCCCAAGCACTGCTTTTGCTGTATCCCATTAATTTTGGTATACTGTTTTAGCTTTCATTCATCTCTAAGTATTTTAAAATTTCCCTTGTAATTTCTTCTTTGACTCACTGGTTGTTTAAAAGTATGTAGTTTAAACAAGAGGTGGTGAGGATGTGAAGAAAGGGGAACCTTTGTGCACTGTTGGTGGGATTGCTAAGTAGTGCAGCCACTATGGGAAACAGTATGGAGGTTCCTCAAAAAATTAAAAATAGAATTACCTTATGACCCAACAATTCCACTTCTGGCTATTTATCTGAAGAAATCCAAAACACTAATTTGAAAAGACATATGTACCTCTATATTCATTGCAGCATTATTTACAATAGCCAAAATATGGAAGCAATTAAAGTGTCCATCAATAGATCACTGGATAAAGAAGATGTGATACATAAATATAATGGATATTACCCAGACATAAAAAAAGAATGAAACCTGTTGTACAGCTGAAACTAATTTTAAAAAGTGTGTATTTCATAAAAAAAAAATAGAAATCTTACCACTTGCAACAACATTGATGGACCTAGAGGGTATTATGCTAAAGTGAAGTCAGTCAGACAGAGAAAAACAAATACTATACGATTTCACTTATATGTGAAATCTAAAAAACCCCCAAAAAGAAAAAAGATAAATGAACAAACAAAACAGAAAGAGACTCATATATAGAGAAAACAAACTAATGGTTGTCAGATGGGAGTGGGGCTGGGAGGCTGAGTGAAATAGATGAAGGGATTAAACTGGAGAGGCCAGCTGAGTGGCTCAGTTGATTAAGAGCTTGCCAAAGAGTGCAAGCTCTGAGCAACAGGGTCGCCGGTTCGATTCCCACATGGGCCAGTGACGCTGTGCCCTGAGCTGAGCTGCCGCTAAGCTGCCAACAGGTGGCAGGATGGCTCCGGTGGTGAGAGCACATGCTCCTCCTACAAGACTGCCTGTTGGATAGTGGGCTACGCCAGCCCGCAACTACGTCCGCCAGCCCGCCGTAACTCGGCACCTTGAGCTGAGCTGCCGCCCAGGTGGCTCAGGGAATAGAGCGCACGCTCTTAACAACGAGACTGCTGGTTCGACTCCCGCATGGGATGGTGGCTACGCCCACCCACAACTATTGAATAATTGAACACTGCACCTTGAGCTGAGCGGTGCAACTGGACTTGGAGCTGAGCTAGCTGTGCCCTCCACAACTAAGACTGAAGGACAACAACGTGGCTGTTCCCCTTCCCCAATTCCCCAATAATATCTTTAAAAAAAACAAAACACAAAAAGTACAAATTGGGCCGGTAGGGCTGCCATAATGACAGACTGTGAGAATTCTTTCCACAGACATTGCAAGTTAAAGTCTTTGTCATAAATTTTATCAAGTCTCTTTTACTGCTGAACTATTTCTAATTCCTTTAATCATTTCTTTTATGACATTACAATTAAAATAATTATACATACTTATTGTTGAAAAAAGATACTTTGAGTAACTAAGCTTATTTTAATTAAAAAAATGAAATATTCTAGCTTAAAAAAAGTACAAATTGGCAGTTACAAAATAGTCAAGGGGATGTAAAGTACATTATAGGAAATATCGTCAATAATATGTAATGACTATGTATGGTGCCAGGTGGGTGCTAGACTTATTGGGGGGATCACTTTGTAAGTTATATAAATGTCTAACCATTATGCTGTATACCTGAAACTAATACAATATTGAAGGTCAACTGTAATTTAAAAATAAATAAAAATTTAAAAATGCATTAGGTAAAAAAAAAAAGAGTACGTTGTTTAATTTCCGCATTTTTCCAGTTTTCAGAAACACTGCTGGAATTTGGTTTGTTTTTCTACTTAGAAGATAAATTAAAGGTGGTGGTATTCTTTGTATCCTAGTAATACTGAAGGTGATGAGTGCTCTTCTTTGCATTCCTCATTCACTTCATGTGTTTTGAAGGGCTTGTGAGGAACACTGGAATTAGGGAGCCTTCAATATCCTCTATACCTGGCAGTTTTCTACTCAGCTTTTGTTTGTTTGTCTTAAGAAGTCCTTTGTCCCGAGTACTTAGCCTACTTGAAACAGTACACTCTAATTCCTGGAAGAAGTCTGAAAAAAGAAACGCCATATTTCTACAGATGGGTACATGTACTATACAGAAATTAAAGAAACATTGCAGGTAGACAGGGAGCCTGGAGCACCTAGAGAGAGTAACTCATGAGGACATCAAAACACTCTGAAGGAGTGAATGACAGAGACCAGAAGCAGACTATAAAATACACAAAAGCAGGCAATAAAAAATTGAGACAAGGGCCGGCAGAGTGGTGCATTGGATAAGAGCTGGCTTGGGATACCAGAGGGCCCTGGTTCGGATCCCACATATGAGGGCCAGTGACACTGCCCTCTACAGCTAAGATGCCGAACAACAGCTCAACCTGGAGCTGGGCTGCCATGAGTCGCTGGCGACGGCATTGGCTGCAGTGAAGCTGCAGTGGGCTGCCATAAGCTACCGTGAGAGGCTGGCAGCTGGCGTGAGCTGCCAAGAGCCGCCATGAGTGGCAGTCCAGGGCTCGGCGACCGATCTGCCTCCCCCGGGAAGAGCGCAATGATAATACCAACATGGGCCACTGAAGCAATGTCTTCCACAACTAGACTGAAGAAAAAAAGGACAGCAACTTGTCTGTTCCCCTTCCCCAATTCCCTAACACTGTTTCCCTAACACTGTTCCCCTCGCCCCAGTTCCCCAATAAAATCTTTAAAACAAAACAAAACAAAAAACAAACAAGCTAGTAGGTTTGGGGGAGAACAAGTTGGAAACAGTAATCAAAAATGTCAAATGCATTCCTTAGTCTTATTCCACTTCCAAGAATTTATCCTATAGAAGAGTTCCAACAAATATTAAAAACATATGCATATAAGAATGTTCATTCTAGCCTGGATTCTAATTGGAAAAAAGGGAAATCTAAATGTATACTACCATGGTTGAAGGTTTTATGTTAATATATGAGGACGCCAGGATGAATGTGGAGTGGAAAAAAAAGAGGGAACATAGAAGCAATATAGGCACAGTGGTTAAGAATGAAAGTGGAGGGCCGGCCGAGTGGTGTGATGGTTAAGAGCTGGCTTGGGACACCAGAGGGCCCCGGTTCGGATCCCACATATGAGGGCCAGTGACACTGCCCTCTACAGCTAAGATGCTGAACAACAGCTCAACCTGGAGCTGGGCTGCCGTGAGTCACTGGTGACAGCGTAGGCTGCAGCCCCTGCTGCAGTGGGTTGCCATGGGCTACCATGTATAGCCAGCAGCCAGCATGAGCGGCCAGCAGCCGCAGTGAGCGGGCAGTCCAGAAGCCGGTGACTGATCTGCCTCGGCCGGGAAGAGCGCAATGATGGTGCCAACTTGGGCCAATGAAGCAACGTCCTCCACAACTAGATTGAAGAACAAAAGGACAGCAACTTGTCTGTTCCCCTTCCCCCAATAAAAAATCTTAAAAAAAAAAAAATGAAAGTGGAGTCCAATTGCCTAGATTTACTACAGCTGTACTACTGACTATATCACCTTGAGCAAGATAATTAACTTCTCCAAGGCTTAGTTACTTCATCTATAAAAGCAGATTTTTTTTTTTTTTTTAGCTGAGCCATCCTGCCACCTGTTGGCAACTCAGCGGCTGCTCAGCTCGGGCGGGGACTCGAACTGCTGTTGCTCAGAGCTCAAACTCTTGAGCAGGCTCTTAACCAACTGAGCCACTCCACCGGCCCAAAAGCAGACTTTTAATACATCTAACTCACAGAGCTGTTATAAGCATTTAAAGGAAAAAATCAATAAAAAACTTGGCACACAACAAACACTTCAGGTTAAGACTGCTATTACAGTTATTATACTATGATCTTATTTTTGTGTTGAACAAAAATATAAGAATGAAGGGACTGGGGAGGATATAAATAAAACAATGCTGAAGTATCTCAGGAGTAGGATAAAGTGCATGGGATTGGAGATTACTCATTTTCTGCTTTATGATGAATATTTTAGATATATACATACATTTTTTTCAAAGTTCAAAAATTGGACCACATAATGGACTTATTATTTATGGATGTGATAAATCTTTAATAACTGAGCAAATATTTTAGAACTATACTCAATATGATACCTTTAATAATTATTTTTTACATCAATCAAAACATACTAGAGTTGAATCGCTTTGTAAAAAGAAAGCACAATAAAAGAATGTACCTACCCCTGCAGTTGCTGCTGTTGATGAGAGGAAAAGGGCACTCTTGGTTTGTTCCAGCCAGTATAATCTTGGTTACACCTCAGTTTTTTAACAGAAAGAGGAGCTGGCTGAGGAAGAAACCCCAAACTTCTTTTGGCAGAGGGAGTTTGGCTTGAAACATTAGTCCTATAAAAAAGAAGACAGTGAAGTAGCAAAACCATTTTGAATACTTTTTTCCCCTAGTAGATTCAGAGAAGTCAATGTCTAAGAAAAACAAAATATAAATTTGGGGAAATATCAATAATAATGATCACTTGAGAAAAATTCCACAAATGCAAGTCTGTTGATAGAGAGCTGAAGAGGCATATAATATTGTACCTACTTAACCTACAATCAAAATAATCCAAGTTAATGGCTAAAGAAAAACTATATAGTTTTACTTTTTTATTAACTTTTATCCACTTAATGGATATCATACATTAGTTTACCTAGACTTGAAAACATGTAGCCAGTTAACTTTTTCTACTATGACAACAAAAAAAGACACTACCAATATTCTTACCCAATCTCGAGAACTTCCTCCAGTTTATATACTTAGAAGTGAAAATGTTAGAAGTATTTTCAACTTTCCTAGATAGTATGATTTTTTTCCAAAAAGGCTGTACCAATTTATATTCCCACCAATAGTGAATTTTCATTTCTTCACATGGTCTCCATTACATTACTACCAATCTAATGCATGAAACATGATCTCATTATTTCATTTTCCTGATTACTACCGAAGTCGAATAAAGTGTTTACTCTTCGAATTACTTTTGTGTGTACCCTTAGTTTTACACTGGGTTCTTAAAGATTTGTATGTTCTAATCCTTTGTCTATTAGATATTCTAAGTTTCAAGTTTTTACATAGTCAAATTTATCAATCTTTTTTACAGTTTCAATTTTTGTGTCTTAAGAATCATTTTGTGGGGCAGCCGGTTAACTCAGTTGGTTAGAGCGCAGGCTCATAACACTAAGGTTGCAGGTTCGACCCCCACATGGGCCACTGAATTGCGCCCTCCACAACTAGAATGAAACAACTACTCTATCTGGAGCTGATGGTTCCTGGAAAAACACAGTTTTCCAATTAAAAAAAAAAATCATTTTGTAACATAAGGTCACAGAAATGTATTCCTATGTTTTCTCTTAAAAGTTTTAAGTCTTGTTTTCCCTCCTACTTAGTTCTTTAATCTGCTTGGATGTTTATTTTTTTGTATGTTGTGAAGTAGGAATGTGATTTACTTTTTTATAAAGACAAAGCAATTGTCTGTCTCCTAACGACTTACTGTTTCGGTAGACCATCTGTTAGCCATAGTATGGTTTTGTTACTTAAAAAAAATTGTGAAATAGAATAATTATACAGAAGTGTATAAAAATCAAAAGTGTACCACTGTGGTGCGGGATGTCAATAGTATGCAAAGTTGTACATATGTGGGGACAGGAAGTATATAAAAACTGCACTTTCTGCTCAATTTTGCTATAAATCTAAAACTGCTCAAAAAATAAGGTTTACTAATTTTTTAAAAAGTGTAGTGTGGAGCTTAACAAATTTTTATAAAGCAAATACCTATGTGATAATCATTAATGTTAACCTCCCCAAATGCTTCTTCGTAAACACAACCCTGTTCCTCTACCCCGAAAATTATCACTAGCTTTCAGTTTTGTCCCTTATAATGCACTACTAAACATTGTAGGTTTGACAATGCAAGGTATATTTGTTTCCATCTTTTTGCTCTCAACCTTTCTGAATCTTTATATTGTAGTTGTTTCTCTTTTAAATAGCAAATATTCTTCCTCCTTTAAAATCTAGTCCACCTTTCTCTTTAACTAGAACATTTAGTATGCTTATATTTAATATCATTACTGATTTGGGTTGCTGTTTTAATATCCTGTCTATTAATTCTATCATCTGTGTCATTACTGAGTCAATATTTACTAATTTTTACCCTCCTTATGAGTTGTATTTTGCTGCTTGTTTGTATGCCTAGTAACGTTTTCTCGAAGGCAGACATTGTGAGTTTTATCTTGTTGGGTGCTGGATTTTTTTGGCTTCTATAACATTCTCGAATTTAGTTCTAGGATGTGGTTAGGTTACCTGTAAACAGTGTAATCTTTTTGGGTCTTGCTTTTAAGATTTGTTATGTGGGACCAGAGCAGCAATTAGTATAGGGATAGTTTTCCTCACTAATGAGGCAAGACCTTTCTTAGCATTCGGACTGCTATTAGGAACAGGAACTATGCCTGACTTTATATGAACTCCAAGTGTTTTTCCCTTAGATCCCTTTGGGTGGTTTTTTTCCCCTGGCCTTGGCTAGTTTTCTCACCTCCATAAGCTGACCAGCACTCAACTGAATACTCAAGGGGGACCCTCTGCAGATTTCTGCAATTCTCTCTGTGCAGCTTTCTCCCCTATGGTACTCCTGAATTCTAGCTGCCTTGGTCTCCCTGGACTCCTAACTCCATTTTTCTGAACTCAGGAAGAGCACAAGGCTCCTCCTGGTTCCCCCTCTTTGTTTGGCAGCCTAGGAACTTTCTCTAGCAAGCAAGCTGGGGCAGTCATAAGGCTAATTTAATTTCATTTATTTCCCATCTCTCAGGGATCAATGTCCTTCACTGCCTCATGTCCAATGTCTTAAGATCTACCGTTTCTTATGATTTGTTCAGGTTCTTAGATGTTTCATGAAGGAGGGTAACCTGGTCCCTGCTGTTCCATCTTTGCCAGAAGAGGAAGTCATCTTTAACTGTTTTTTTTTTTAGATTTTTTTAAATTGGGGAATTGGGGGAAGGGGAACAGACAAGTTGCTGTCATTTTGTTCTTCAGTCTAGTTGTGGAGGACGTTGCTACTGGCCCTCTATGTGGGATCCGAACCGGGGCCCTCTGGCGTCCCAAGCCAGTTCTTAACCATCACGCCACTCGGCCGGCCCCGTTTTTAAGATT